CCTTGGCGGGATGTCAGTCACGTGATCAGCGCCCCGCGTTGATCGTTACCTTCTGACGTGGTCGTCGGTTGGCGTTCCGCGCCAACTCCTTCATCAAGGGTGGAGTTCCTTTTGTTGCTTGTAACAAAAGTTGGTGTTCGGTGTACAACATGGCCGAGGAGTCGCCGGATTACAAGTGTCTATATCTGAAGGAACAACGCAGGCGTGAAGCAGCGGAGAACGCCCAGAGAGAAGCGGAAGCAGCACGGGAGGAGGAACAATGCAGGCGCAAGGAGGCGAAGCGAGGCCAGGAAAGAGCGGCAGAGCAGACGCGCAAGACAGCCCTTCCCGAGTTCCTCCATGCCTGCCACACCCATCTCCACTCCGGCCTCACCGTCCAGACCGATCCGACATTGTCGACACGAGGCAGCCCTACCAACGCAAACAACAAGCTTCGCCCGGAAAGGCTGGCCCTGTGGGCCGACTTCCCTGCGCGACAGCCACCATCTGGGACGATTTGATGGAGTCCGGCTTCGCGTCCGTACGACATTTCACGTCGCTGCACACACTCGAGGAGACGGGCGAGGCCGTGCGGCGGCGGATGATGAGCTCGGAGCTGGACCTGAACCTCTTCCAGCGGCACACCGTCGAAGACCAGGTATCGCTGATCATCCAGGGCATGCACAGCGACCGTCGACCGCGGCAGAAGTTTGGGCTGCAGGGCTCGGTGAACTTTGAGAACCACGCCAATACGCTCAGCCCGGAGGAGCAGCTGGAAGAGGACATGGAGCAGCTGATGGTGTCGGGGACCGGGCGACGGCAGTCACCGCGTCTGCAGGCGAAAGCGAAAGCCAAAGCGAAGGAGACACGGCCGTCAGGCTCGACAGGTACGGCAGAAGCGGAGGACGCTGGTCGCAAAAGCACAGCAAGCTCGTCGCGTCCCCGGGCCGACCAGTTTGCGTATACAACACGGGCACGACTCGAAGCGCTCAGGACCGCATTGCGGCCTTTATCCTCGAGTACAAGGCGCTGCACAAGCTCTCGCTCGGCTACGTCTACGAGGGACTAGGCGAGATGGAACTCGACGAGGTGGTGCAGTGCCGCGACGACGAGACGTTGAGAGACCGCTTTCGCCGGCTGGTCGCCGTGGTCATTACCCAGGCCTTCTCCTACATGGTCCGGATCGGAGTGGAGTACGGGTGCGTATGCACGGGTGAAGCTTACATCTTCCTACATATAGGAGACGACCCCAGGACGGTGCACTACTTCCTCTCGGTGCCAAAGGACGACGTGGGAGAGACGACGGGGTGGACAGCCGGCTCAGAGGGTGGAAACCGGTTGCACCTGACAGCAGTGGGCCAGATGCTGGCCTTTACCCTCCAGGCGCTGAAGACACCGCCGCGGTCGCAGCGATGGCGGGCTAAGGCAGCGGCACAACTGCGCAGCTGGGAGGTGGTGTACGACGAGCTGCTGGACGCGATCCCTGAAGGCATGACGCAGTCGTCGGAGTACCAGCCTCCAGAGGACGACAGCTTCCTGCGCATGTCGCCTGTGCAGCTGCGCGGTGGAAGAGAGAAATAGAGCTCGCCTAGCTGCCGACAGGCAGAGCAGCAACACGAGGCCAACGACGACGAGCCAGAGTCAGAGCCTGATCCGGACACACCGAGCCGACAGCAGTCGTCGCCGCAGCACGTGTTGCGCACGCAGAAGGCTACCCGTAGCTCGCCAACCCCGCGCGGGCGTGGGCGTGAGCGAGGGCATGGCCGTGGCCAGAGAACAAGGGACAAGCAATACTGCACGCAGGCATGCCTTCGCGGGCTTGTAGACGGCGGTGTGCTTGATAGATACACTCCCATGCATTTGCAGCTTCCGGTTTCCGTAAGCAGGCGACTCTTGGTCCCATGCCCAGCCCTTCTCGTTTAGTGGTGACCTTACCCAGATAGTGCTAGTTTTTACTAGCGTTGCTATGAGTCAACCCGCCGCTCGATACTCGGACCAATGGAATCGAGATATCTACACAGTCTAAGCCTTTTTAGAGCATGTGTCTTCTAGAATAATCGATTCCCTGTGCAGGGTGACAAACAAGCCGTGGGTGTAAAGCGGAAACTGCAAGTGCATGGGAGTGTATTGTCCTAACGCCAGAGACCACGGAGAGGGATTCCACCAGATTGACCGGCCAGCCTTCCTTGCCCTTATGCGTCAACAGCTTGCGGTTGACCTAGACACGGATTGTAATCCTATGAGCCTGCCTGGAGCGTGTGGTGTGCTCTTCCGCGTCCGTCTGCGATCGCACGGATATGTTGTGGCAGCGAAGTGCACGCCCGCCTACTTCGCCCATCGCCTGCGATGGGAGGCGTCTATCTACGAGCGGCTTCGACCCATCCACGGGCTGGGAGTGCTGCACAAGGATCTGATGCCTCGCAACATACTTTAGAACGAGAGGACTGAGCACGTCATGGTGATCGACTTCGAGCGAGCAGAGATAGAGCAACGGACCGCACTAGGTGCTATCTCGGTCAACCGCAAAAGGAAGAAGCCGGCAGAAAGCTTGGCCAAGCCAGCGCGAAAAAAGCCTTCTGCATGCACACTAGAGATACGGCGGGCGATGTTTGAGCTGAACGGCATTGCACAGTCAATTCGATGTGGGTGACGCCAAGCTTACGACTTGTCTGCACTTTGTAACAGAGAGTGTTCACCACAAGTGGGCACTTGATGTCGCCAAGAACGCTCTCCTTCAACGGAGAGGGCGCAGATGCCATTGAGCATTCCGGAAGTGGCGGACTGTGGCGGACTGTGGCGGAAACGGCCCACCCGACGCCTTGGATGTCGGTCTGGGGTACGGACCCAAGTACTGCCTCTGAGGAAACTTGGTCGGGCTTCGTGAAGACTGCTTTGGGCAGCTGCATAAGGCTGGGCCATCGCGACTTCTAAGCTTGGTGTGCCGCCCTCCACTGTGCGGCATTTACACGATCTCCACCAAGAGTTCTCGGCTAAGACCGGTCATGCGTGTGTCCACCACGGCGCGATTGCTCAAGGCGGAGTCGTGATACCGAGTCTTGTGGCAGGCTACTGTCAAGCCGACTAGCAGCTGCAGCTGGGTGATCCAGTCCCACAATCTTCTGGTCATCTGCTCCAAGCCGATCCAAGTTTCGAAGAGTCATCTCTGTAAGGGGCTGCGCTCCGTAGAGCAATCGCGAGGTATACAAGAGGTTGTATTCGATAGGGAGCTAAGCTCCTAGCTACGTGGTTATCTATATACAAGCTAGTTGCCTGAGTAACAATCGGGCCGGTATGGTCTAGGTGCACGAGGCAGCTTCTGGGTCCTGCGGCCATCGTCTGAGCGACGTTCGGACGATGCGCAGAGAATCCGGGTGCTCGAGGTAGCACCCGGATTTTGCGAGTAGACCGAGATTCCATCGAGGAGCTGTCCAAAGGGCGTTCAGCCCGTTACAATCTCTTCAGCCTCATGGTCACCAGGCCATATTGACGACTTTCTCTTTAACCTCCCTCCTTACGCAACGAACAACCCCGTGGGCCGAAGCCGGCCAATAAGAGCGCAAGAATAGCAGACATTCCGACCTAGCGCGGCGTCTCATTGGCTGAGTTCGGCCCACCGGGTAGTTCGCTGCACAGGGAGGGATGAAAGGGAAGACGGGACTTGAAAGCAATGGGTATAACGTTAAAGGATGGACGGATTTCTTTAGTGCACTCGTTGTGATCAACTCTCACAAGTTCTTCTTTTACATAGATTAATACTTAACGTCCATCCTGTCGTGGCGGGACACCCTGTGTGCCTGGACCGGCCAATCAGACCGCTGATTTTGGGCAGAAGTCTGTGATTCAAGCGACGTGATTGGCCGGTCCAGGCACACAGGGATTCTGTCACTGAGGGATAGACGTTAAAGTCCCTCCCTGTGTGACGGAAAACCCTATGGGCCGGAAACAGCCAATGAGAGTGTAGGGATAGCATCTTTCCTGACATGATACTCTGTTCCGTTGATTGATTCCGGCCCACAGGGTTTTCCTTCACACAGGGAGGGACCTCACACGCTCGCAAGCGTGTGCGCTATTTCGGCAAAAGCTTCTTTAAAATTTCCCATCCAAAGCTCAACCTCTTTCTTAGTGTTGGCAGACTCAGGATATAAAAGCGCCACCTTGATACAACCGTCCTCTAGACTTACCTCTAGCTCGAACAATCCCAACCTTTTTGACTGTGGTAGGGATACCGGTCGACAATTCTCCGGAAGTGACAATGTCTTGAACAGCGAATCAGTTCGTTCCAACTGCTGGAACATTCCGACATAGTTGAAGGTTACATCGACAGGGAATTTAGATACGAAGGCTGCCTTCTCCTGCTCCGTAACAAATTTAGACGCGAAGTAGGACCAACCTCTACGAGGCAAACCGCGCAGATAGTCTTTAGTCTGACTAATAGTTTCCAACAAAGAAGATCCTGGGTACACCTGGATAGGGAAAAGGGTAGTAAACCATCCAACTGTGCGAGAAACATCAATGTTGTTGTCCCATGCTTCGCGACCATGGCTCTCGACGAAGATACGGGGATGTTGAAAATCTGGGAATGCGAGATTGAAAGAGCTGGTCAAAGCTGCGAGCATCAGCTCGATAGGCTTTGTTTGTAGAGCGTCGTTGCTCATGCCCATAATCTTTGAGCTGACTCGCTGGTCGACTACAAAAGACTCAATCCTAAGAATTCCATCAACATCTGGAGCAAGTTCCCACCCTCTCGGAACCTTGGGTTTCTCGTCATCAGCAGCCTGAACAGGAGCAAAGCTCTCGCTTATGTGCTTGTCCTGCAGAGAGCACCACTCTTGAAAAGACATTCCAGGTGGGACTGTCAGTTGCCCGTCAAGAAGCAGCTGCTCAAGCTCTCGAAGCAAAATCCTCCAAGACACCATATCCATGACAGCATGGTGAATACAGATAAACAGCCTCTGTTCTTCAGTTCCTTCAATAAGCAAAGCCGCAAACAACGGGCCAGACATGATATTCAACTTGCCCCTAGCTTGAGATATCATCTGAGCGCACTCACGGTCACCAGAGACTGTGACAGAGTTGAAGACGTAACTTTCGGATACACTGGTAGCAATGCGTTGTTCCCACTTGCCATCCATGCCTCTATTGAACCGTGTACGGAGAACAGCATGTCGTCCTATGATTGTCCGGAAGGCCCTGTCTACGTCCTCGAACGAAACCCTTTGTTCAAGCCCAAGGAGGTAACATTGGTCAAAGCAGATATTGGGGTCAGTCTGAAGTCTGAAAAATAGTTCCTGCATTGGCGATAGAGCAAAGGCTTGTGGTGACATTTCATCCTTCTTAGATCCTCCGGTACGGCCTTCATCGTGGGGTGCGATAGCTGTTACCGACCCAGCTAAGTCCCGCAATGTCGGTTGGTTGAATATGTCATCGATGGATATGTGGATTTTGAGTTTGCGTAACTCGGCCACAAGGGACATGGTTGAGATGGAGTCGCCCCCAAGACGAAAAAAATTGTCATCCAGGCCTATGAACGCTGAGTCAATATTCAAAACTCTTGACCAAGCCTGTTGAATCTGCTGCTCGGTCACCCCCATCGATCGTTCTTGAATTAGGCCTTTGGTGTTTTTTTGCTCTATCGCCTGTTGCGTCAAAAACTCGGCGCCTAGATCACGCAGTTTCTTCCGGTCGATTTTTCCAGATGCCGTTATTGGCATTCGACTTATGGTGAAGTATACTGTCGGTACCATGTACTCCGGGAGATTCTCTGCTAGTTTGCGAGATTCCTCTATTCCCAATCCCATAGCACTAATTCGATAAGTGGCCAAATTCTTGGCTTCTTCGTTCAAAGACTTGATTGTGGTAACGAAAGCCGCTAATACTGGTTTGGCATTTTCCCAGGCCGGCAATAGAATCTCGCTGGCAGCTTGCACAACTCCCTGGACACACTCGCGGACGTAGTGTTCTACCTCACCCAGTTCCATCCGCTGTCCACGAATCTTGACCTGTTCGTCTTTACGCCTAACAAAGCACAAAGTGCCATCATCGTTATATCGTACCAGGTCTCCGGTTTTGTACAACTTCCCGCGCCGGCCGGGGTAGCCGCAGCCGCCTTGCAGTAACCATGGAGGGTCTTGGATGAAGGAAGCGGATGTTTTCTCTGGGTCGCGCAGGTATCCATGTGATAATATTGGTCCCTCGATCAGAAGCTCCCCGATAGCCCCAATTTGGGCCAGTTTGGTATGATCAACCTGGCTTACGACCCAGCTCGACGAACCCACAGCCTTCCCAATGGTACTGTGGTTCCATATACTCAAATCCACGTTATGCATGTTTGAAAATACAGTGCATTCAGTTGGTCCATACCCGTTAATTAAAGTAGGGAGATGTGCCCATCTCTGAAGATCTGTGCGAGTACTGGGCTCTCCGCCAATAATCAACGTCTTTAACGAGGGGACCTCTGACGGCTCAAGCACCCTGGATACCGATGGCACCAAGAAGGCCACGTTAACATCCATGGAGGTTATCAATCGACCTATATCGCCTAAACGTTCTTGATCAGAAGGCACACAAACACAGCCCCCGAAAACCAATGTTGTGATGATTTCGAACACCGATGCATCGAAGGTGTAGGAGGCGAACTGCAAGACTCGCGAAGATGGCGAAACGCCAGCTCGGATGCCATGGTACTTGCTACTGCTGCTTACTGACCGATGCGGAACTGATATACCCTTTGGCTCTCCGGTACTACCAGAGGTGAATATTACGTAGGCAATGGAGGATGGTGACGGACAGGTAAGCCCTTGCACAGGTAGAGCATTCCAAGAAGATGCTGAGTGCGACCCAACAGCTACCGCAAAGTGGTGAGCACCAAGAGCAAGATCCGAATATCGCTCCGATGTAAGAACAATCCGTCCGCCTACCCTCTCCAGTTGGTGCTTCCGGCGACCCGCAGTTCCTGAAGGATCGAGCAACACAAATGCACATCCAACTTTCAGCACAGCCAGAATTGCCACTTGTACCCACATCGACTTCTCGAAAAGGAGAGGAACCACAGTACCCTGACCAACGTCCAACCTGGCAAGATAGTGTGCAAGGCGATTAGACAGACTCTCTAGCTCGCCATACGTCAAGTTGCCATCCCAAGCACACACTGCCAATGCTGTAGGTTGCCTGCTAGATTGCTGTTCTATCAGAGTGTGTACGCAGCTCTCAATAGGGGCCGGCAAAGCAGCATTCCAGGTCCAGACTCTTTCTAACTCAGAAGGCGTCAAACAGTCAATCTCTTTGACTTTTTTGCTCGGTTCAGCTTCAATTATTTGACGCATAACGAGTATGAGGGCCTCTGCCAATGCTTCGGCCTCTCTACTCCGCAAAACGTTCTGATCGTAATTGGCCACGACTTTTACCCGACCATCAACAAGAAAACACTGTAATACTAGCGGATGTGCTCCAAACATCATTGCTGTCTCATCAATCCATGTACCAATAGACCGATCATCTTGGAAGCAGTTTTCAGCCTCATGAAGTAGCATCAGTGTTTGATATGTAGAACCCCGCTGTGTGTCCTCGTTTAGGTTTGAGATTTCCGATACATCTGTATGCTCAAAGGGTCTCCTAGTCAGAGATTCCAGGGCCACAGCCTCCAATAGAGATGCTACCGGCTGGTCCTGTACAACCTGTATGCGAATGGGAAACTCCGTCATCGCAGGCCCCATTATCATGTCAGCATCTGGGAGGCTGGTGTCTCTTTGTGATGACAACGCTCCGAAAACAACGTCGCCTTCTCCAAAATATCGACCTAAGACGACGGCTAACGATGCATGCACCAGGTTTGAACTATCCAGCTTCGGTGACACCAGGGGCAATAGTGACCATGGGCTCTCATACCTGGAAACAATAGTTGGTTCCGGGGGACCAGGCGAGGTAGGAAAACTGAAGGCATTACTACCTTCGAGATTCATTGTCCAAAAGGCTTTGTACTTGGCTTCGTCTCGATCCTGTAGGTTCTTGAGGAAACAATCAAATCCTTTCAGCCCAGCAAAGGCACGCTCATGATACGCTTCGCTAAGCATGGTCGTGAGTCTCCTTATCATGTGGGGATCAAACATAGCGCGATCCATAGTCCATAAGAACTTGCGAGAATCTCCATCCGTCACGATGGCGTACGTAGAAAGGGGTTGACCAAATGAACCCTCTACCGGCTGGTTGTCCGACTCCTTGGCAGTCGCTTCGGAAAATTTCCATGCTGCATCTTCCTTCATGATGACTTGGAATACTCCATACTTGTCGTGCTTTATAATTCGAGTACGCAGTATAGAGGCTGCCTGGACGACTTTTGACCACGCGGCGTAGAATCGCGACCACCCCACGTCCTCTCCCAACTCCAAGACAGCTCGTAAAGTGCCCTCATGCTGTTCAGTAGCGGTCGTTAAGAGACGTGCTTGCCAGGGAGTGCATGGGAGAATATTCTCGATTAAGGTAGGATCAACTTTGGACTCACCAGCAACTTGCTGGATATAATCTTGAACATGACGTCCGACGAGAGAAAATGGGGGTATCTCATCATCCATCTCAACAGCGATACAGTCCCGGAGGCTTCGCAACGCACAAACACGTATGTATGAAAAAAAGGCAGGATCTAGGCTGCATTTAGGTGAGGCTCTTGAATATTGTAGACCTTGTAATTTACTTACTAGACAAGATAGCCGTGCAGTCAAAGATAGCTCAGAATCACGTATCCGAGTAATATCAGAGTTGAAGAGCTTCGTGGCTGCAGGAAATTTTGGGGGACCATGCGTTGGTGGCTCGACTTATCCACATAGGCTCGAGCATGATAGATATAACTCAAGTACAGCTTCCGTGTCCAAGTCAGCTAGCAGGAGGGTGAGCATCGAACTTTCCGCATTCACCCGAGTCCCGAAGTCCGTTGTTTTATGCGCTGGGGCTTATCTCCCGTTCCGTCCCTCGGTCCCGGACCCAGAAAACGATTCCCACCAGAACACAATGTGCCGAAGCTCAAAACGTCCGTACTTCTGCCTTGTGCCGAATAATCGCAACCAGCTTCGCCCTGTTAATTTGTCTAAAAATGACGTTTCTGTTTCTTGGTTAGCTACTGTCGACCTTGTTCACACTTGTGGGCTTTCCTTGTCTTTGCACTACACACACAATTTATTGGCAGCTAGTGACAGAGTGCTGCTATTTTTTCAGTGGGTTGTTGTCCTCTATTTGTTAAACTTAGCTACAGCACTAGCTTGGACATTCTCGACCCACGGGGTTTCTCCGTACATAGGGATGGACTTTGATCAAGAGGAACGTGATTTTGAGACAAACTGACCACCCGGAGCTACCTGCAACTATTCGGTATGAGGCAAAACAACGGAGAGTTTCGGCTTCGGCACATTCTGTTCCAATGGAGATCGTTTTCCTGGTCGATGACGTCACGAGACCGCGCACAAAACAACCGATTTCGGGGCTTGTATTCATGGGGGAAGCTCGGCACTCACGCTCCTGCCAACTAAATAGGACAAAAACCGTGCGGTAGTTCCTCCTGAGCAATAATAACCTCGCCCCTGGACATTCGATAGCACGATACGTTTTTCGATTCAACCACGCAATCCCTTGACTGGACAATGACGCCTCTTAGAGAACCAATTGCTGTTATCGGGTCCGCATGTCGCTTTCCAGGTGGTGCAAACTCGCCTCATAAACTCTGGGAGTTGTTGAGAGATCCTAGAGACATATTGCGTGAGTTTCCTGATGACAGATTGGTCTTGTCGAAGTTCTACAATGGTAATGCGAACCACCACGGCAGTACGAATGTCAGAAACCGATCGTACCTTCTTTCCGAAGATATACGAGCATTTGATGCACCCTTTTTCCACATCAACCCTCGAGAAGCCGATGGTATGGATCCTGCTCAACGTATTCTCCTCGAGGCTGTTTATGAAGCACTTGAAGCTGCTGGATATACAATGGAGCAAATGCAGGGTACCCACACGTCTGTGTTTGTTGGTGTCATGAATTCCGATTGGTGGGATCTGCAGATGCGCGATACCGAGACGATTGCCACCCATGCGGCAACTGGAACAGCTCGCAGCATTGTTTCTAACCGTATTTCCTACGTGTTTGATCTCAAAGGCGTATCCATGACCATTGACACAGCTTGTTCTAGTTCCTTGGTTGCGCTACATCAAGCAGTGCAAAGCTTACGGAGCGGTGAATCTACAGCTGCCATTGTGGGGGGTGCCAATATTCTTCTTGATCCTGCAATGTATATCGCCGAGTCAACATTACAAATGCTGTCACCAGAATCTCGCTCACGTATGTGGGACAAATCGGCAAATGGTTATGCAAGAGGCGAGGGATGTGCAGCGGTCTTCCTGAAGCCATTAACGAGGGCCATAGCCGATGGTGATCATATCGAGTGTGTCATCAGGGAAACAGGAGTCAGTTCTGATGGGCGCACACAGGGAATCACCATGCCCAGTGCTGCAGCACAGGCAGCATTGATCAAATCGACATACCGCAGCGCTGGATTGGACCCGTTGGCAGATCGCTGCCAGTATTTTGAATGTCATGGAACCGGAACCCCAGCAGGTGACCCCATCGAGGCCCAGGCCATCGCAGAGGCATTTTTTTCGCATTCTGGAGAGGATGCAGAAATCTACGTTGGGTCCATCAAAACAGTGATTGGACACCTGGAGGGATGTGCAGGCCTAGCAGGTCTGCTAAAAGCCTCTCTGGCAATCCAAAATCGCACCATACCCGCCAATATGCTTTTCAACGACTTGAATCCATTGATTGGGCCATATTACAGAAACTTAAAGATACTTCAAGCGGCAAAACCGTGGCCGCAGGACATACACGGCCCCCGCCGAGCTAGCGTCAATAGCTTTGGTTTTGGTGGGACAAACGCGCATGTTATCCTGGAGAGCTATGAGCCTGAAATGCAGGGAACGCATGTTTTACAGGAAAGGTCTTTCCATGGCCCGTTGACATTCTCGGCCTGCTCGAAATCGTCTTTATTGGCAACGATCAGCAACTTCACCAGCTACATCAAAACGAATCCTGCAGTTGATCTGCAAAACCTAGCCTGGGTTCTACAAAGAAAACGCACCGAATTTCCGGTCAAGCAGCATTTCTCGGGCTCCACGCACGCTAGGTTGATCGAGTCCATGGAAGCCTATCTCCAGAATGCAGGTTCCAGTGGCCTTCATAACACAACCATTGACACAAAGCTGTTGTACCCAAGTGAAATTCCTAGGGTTCTTGGGATTTTCACTGGTCAAGGCGCACAATGGGCTACTATGGGAAAAGAGTTTATTCAAAATTCATATCTCTTCCGAGAGTCAATCGACCGAAGCGAGGCAGCTCTTGTAGCTTTGCCTGATCCCCCTTCTTGGTCTTTGATATCTGAACTCTTCGCCACAGTTGAAACATCTCGACTCAATGAAGCGGAACTTAGCCAACCACTGTGTACTGCTATACAGATTGCCATCGTGGATCTTATGTTCGCAGCAGGTGTTAAGCTAGATGCTGTGGTGGGCCACTCTTCTGGCGAAATCGCTGCTGCCTACGCATCAGGGATCATTTCTGCAGCGGATGCTATGGCTATTGCCTATTACAGGGGCTTTCATGCTAAAAGGTCGCATGGAACTGGTGGGAAGAGGGGTGGAATGGTAGCTGCTGAGCTTTCGTATGAAGCTGCCCTTCAGTTCTGCGAGAAGGTTGAATGGGCTGGGCGTTTAGTGCTTGCTGCCAGCAACTCTCCGTCTAGCATCACATTGTCGGGAGACCTTGACGCTGTTCAAGAAGCCCATGCATACTTTGAGAAGGAGAACATATTTTCCAGGTTGTTACGAGTCGACACTGCTTACCACTCTCACCATATGATTCCCTGCGCCGAACCTTATCTAACATCTCTGAAGGCTTGTAACATCCAAGTAAGCCAAGCTCGGTCGGACTGCATCTGGATATCTAGCGTATCCGGGGATGTTCAATCGTCAAGCGAGGAGCAAGGAGCTTTGACAGGAGAATACTGGGTTGACAACATGGTGAAGCCAGTTTTGTTTTCCCAGGCCGTCCAATGTTCAATTTGGAACAGCGGCCCCTTCGAATCAATCGTAGAGATAGGACCGCACTTCGCACTGAAGGGGCCCACCACCCAAGTCATGGAAGCGGTGCTTGAATCATCACCGCCGTATCTGAGCTTCATGCGCCGTGGACATGGAATCGAAACATTTTCTGATGGATTAGGGCGTCTATGGTCCAAGCTTGGTCCATCTTCTGTTGACTTGACGGGGTACTGGAAAGCTTGCAGCAGTAGCCACATCAAGTTTCAGATGCTGAAAGGGTTGCCAGCATACGCATGGGACCATGATAAGGTTTACTGGAAGGAAGGACGCATCTCCCGTAACCACCGCCTTCGTAAGGACGTTCCACATGAGCTCTTGGGTCGCCGTACTGCAGATGACTCTGATTATGAGCTGCGGTGGCGCAATGTGCTACGATTGACCGAAATCCCTTGGATCCGGGGCCACAAATTCCAGGGTCAAGTTCTGTTTCCTGCTGCTGGCTACGTGACAATGGCCTTGGAGGCCTCCAAGGCTTTGGTAGGGGATCGGCACGTTAGGCTGTTTGAGCTTCGAGATATTTGCATCCGAAAGGCTTTGGTCTTAGAAGAGGATCAATCTAGCCTTGAGACTGTGTTTTCTGTCAAACGACTAAATGCAGACTTTGGGATACATGATGAGAATATGGACCTCCTCGAGGCTGAGTTCTCTTGCTATGTTTGTGCTGACGAGACTGTTGGCACTCTTGAGAAGACTGTGTCAGGTAGGATCATAATTCACCTTGGAAGCGGAGTTGATGTGAAGTTGCCGCCAGCTGCACACTTCTGTACTGATCTCTCACCTGTTGATCTAGACAGATTTTACTCCACTGTCGAAGAACTCGGCTTAAGCTACCAAGGCCTTTTTAAAGGTCTAGATCATGCTGAGCGGATGCTGAACCACTCCCATGCTCTTGCGGTATGGGAAAACCATAGCATGGGAGCAGGATCTATGGTTCACCCTGCACTATTGGACGTCATGTTTCAGGCGATCTTTGTAGCTTCCATTTCACCGGCCGCTCCCAGTACTCTCTGGACACCCTATCTTCCCGTCTCTATCGATCGCATCATCGTGGATCCTGATCATATACCTGTATATTCTCACCCTGAAGTGAGGGCTCATATACAGGCGTACGTTACAAAGTCATCGGCATCTTCAATTGTTGGTGACATTCACCTTCTGGATTCGAATGGCATTCATAATGGCATCCAGGTTGAGGGATTGTCTCTAAAGTCAGTCGCCGAACCTACTGAAGAGAACGATCGCTCGATTTTCTCCCAGACTGTCTGGGATACAGACATTGCCAGCGGTACAGATTTTCTTAGAGACCGAAAGGAGGATGCGCAAGAAAGTAAGCTCATCCACGCCATAGAGCGAGTCGCGTTATTTCACTTTCGAAGCCTTGTTGAGGCAATAACCGTGGAGAAAGCCAAAACCCTTGCGTGGCACCACCAGCTCTTCCTCAAAGCCGTAAAAGCAAACATAGAGACAATCAGAACTGGCGGGAACCCAGTAGTTCGGCAAGAATGGCTATGCGATACTCGAGAAACGATTGAAGACCTTCGAGCTCAACATCCAGGTCAGATTGACCTCAACCTAATGCACGCAGTTAGTGAAAAGCTCATATCAATTGTCTGTGGGGAAACACAGATTTTGGAAGTCATGCTCCAGGATGACATGCTCAACGACTTTTATATGCGAGGTCGCGGTTTCGAGACGATGAATAACTGTATTGCCCGTGCTGTGCAGCAGATTGCACACAAGCACCCCCGTGCTAAGTATTTGGAGATCGGTGCAGGGACCGGAGGCACGACTCACCGCATCCTGGACACCATTGAGTCAGCTTACACTTCGTACGAGTACACCGATATATCCTCTGCGTTTTTCGAAAAAGCCTCCCACAAATTCGACAAACATGCGAGTAAGATGGTGTTCAAGGTGCTCGATATTGAGAAGGATGTGGTTGACCAAGGGTTCGAGAACGGCGCGTATGATGTTGTCATCGCTGCGAATGTTCTTCATGCTACACGCACGTTGTCTGGAACAATGGGCCATATAAGGTCTCTATTGAAACCTGGTGGCTACTTGATCTTCATGGAGGTCACTGGAGATCAACTCAGGCTTTTGTTTCTTTTTGGCGCCCTACCCGGATGGTGGCTCGGAGCTGGGGAGGGTCGCAGCCTAGGCCCTGGAGTCTCGACCATCGCTTGGGACAACATCCTCCGTAACACGGGGTTTTCAGGCGTAGATGACGTATTCTACGATTTTCCCGATCGCTCGAGGCATACATGCTCTGTGATGATTAGTCAGGCGGTCGACGACCAGCTCAGACTTCTCCGTGATCCACTAGCCGCCACAGGCATGCCTATTAGCGAGCAAGTCCTCATTATCGGCGGAGACACATCATCGGTTTCCCAACTGGCATACGATACAAAGCGCCTCATTTCGCCATGGGCAAGTTGTGTGGCGATTAATAACATTGATGGTCTAGACTCTCGTCGGCTACCATCTAGATTTTCAGTAATTTGCTTGACAGAACTGGACAAGCCGTTATTCTCGGAAATCATGAGCGAGCAGCGACTGAGTAATTTACAAAACCTATTTGCGACCGCAAATGTCGTTTTCTGGATTACCAGCGGCTGTAATGAGGGAACTCCGGTCGCTAATATGATGGTAGGAATCGGCCGCGCTCTTGCCACCGAGTTACCCCATCTTACGCTGCAATTCCTGGATGTAAAAACAGTTGAAAGGCTCAAACCCTCTATTGTTGCACAATCATTCTTTCGCTTAGTTCTGGCCAAACCATTAGTCATGGCAGAGAAAAGTATGCTCTGGACAACTGAGCCCGAACTTGTGTTTGATGGAGATGACATATTGATCCCACGTGTCCTACCAGATAAAGAGATGAATAATAGGTTCAATGCGGCTCGCCGTCCTATCAGCGAGAACCTCTGGAAGGAGAGCACCTGCATCGAGCTCAGCAACGCCGACAATAGCAGCGCACCAGCTCTATTCGAGATAAAGAACACAATAAGGCCTGGCGAAACGACCATCGATGTCAAGTACTCAGTATGTCTAGGAAAGAGATGCACCTTCGTTCTTGGTGTGGTTTCGGGTACTTCAGATACGGTTCTTGCTATTTCTGATACGAATGCCTCTTCTGTTCGTATCTCGAAGGAGCACGTCTTCTTTCTGCCCCATGATTTCAGTGGTAATTCCGCAACGCTGCTGTTGGACACCGCGAATCATGTTCTTGCTGCAAAGCTTTTGAGATGTATCTCGCCTAACAGTATTGCTCTTATTTATGAGCCCGGAGTCCGACTTGCTGCAGCAATACGACATCATGCGCACGAAAATACAGTTGATGTCTTCCCGGCAACCTCTAATCGTGAAAAATGTGGAGAAGGTTGGGCTTTTATACATCCACACGCCACAGAACGAGATATACGTACTATTATCCCTCGGAACACTGGTTGCTTCATCAATCTTAGCTTTAAACCACCAGGTGCACTCTCCCGTGCTCTCCTGCAACAAACCATCATCCATGGACCTGATTGTCTCAGCCAAATTGTCTCTTCAGCCGATGGCTTCCTCCTAGAAGCTGCATTTAACTGGGCAACTACGGGTCTGTTAAGCTTGGATAGTGTAGAGACGGTCAGTGTCCAGAGTTATGTAGGTACAACCAGACCTAGCAGGGACTTCCCGCTTGTATTTGACTGGACAGCGCCTCGACTGCCTGTTACCGTCAAGCCTCTGGAGCCCAAAGGCTTGTTCCTTCCTGATAAGACTTATCTCATGATTGGTATGACAGGAGATCTAGGGCGCTCTCTCTGCAGATGGATGGCCGAACATGGTGCTCGATATGTAGTGCTCACCAGCCGTAATGCTGAGGTTGACAGTGCTTGGATTGAGAGCATGGCCGCGATAGGCGCTACCGTCAAGGTCTACAAGATGGATGTGTCCAATCGAAAATCGGTCCTTGGCGTCTACACCACCATCAAAAATTCGCTTCCAACGATAGCAGGCGTTTGCAATGCAGCCATGGTGCTCGAGGATAGGCTCTTTGCTAATATGACCGTTGGTGCCTTGAGCAAAGTTTTTGAACCAAAGGTTGAGGGGTCAAAAGTCCTGGATGAGATTTTCCACGAACTAAATTTGGATTTTTTCATACTTTTTTCTTCACTGACTAGTATCCTTGGCAATGGTGGTCAATCCAATTACCACGCCGCTAATCTATTCATGACTAGTATGTGCGCTCAACGCCGTGCTCGAGGTCTTGCTGCATCGGTCATGCATATCGGCATGGTTGCGGATATTGGGTACGTTGCCAGGAGTGACCGGCATATTGAAAACCACCTTCGTAAGCTTCAATATCACCCCATGTCAGAGACCGATATGCATTACCTCTTCGCTGAGGCCGTTATGAGCAGCCGTGCAGATCATCCGGGCAATTGGAACATTGTATCTGGCATCGAAACATTTGTCGACGCCCCTGGCGTAAAGCTCCGCCCACCTCACTACCACAACCCGCGCTTCGCTCACTATGTCCGCGAAGAAAATGCTAGGAAGGAGGATTTGCGAACCGACAAGACAGAAAAGAGTGTAAAAGAACTCCTTGAGGATGCAATTTCAGAAGAGGATGTTACGACAGTATTTCAACAGGCCTTTCTGATAAAGCTGGAGAGGCTGACACAGCTGGAGTCCCACAGAATCGATGCCAATAAGTCGCTTCTTAATCTAGGTGTGGACTCTCTGTCCGCCGTAGAGATCCGCAATTGGTTCTTGCAGACTGTTGGTGTGGATATTCCAGTTTTGAAACTACTTCGCGGCGATACAGTCTCTGAAATCAGCATTGATGCCACCAAAAAGTATCTTGCACAAAGGACTTCCTAAGAGCGTTTACACGATCAAGTATTAATTTCTCTTCTTACGCTGCGAATGACCCGGTGAGCCGGAAGCAGCCAATGAGCCACTGCGTAAGGTTGGAAGATCTGCTATCCTTACGCTCTCATTGGTTGTTTTCGGCCTACCGGGTTGTTCGCTGCGTAGGGAGGGAGGTTATATTCACAATCAGATAACGTGAACGGCAAGCGAACCGGCCAGGCAAGCGAGCCGACCACCCCACCAAGATTGCGCACCTTTGTATATAAATTAGATGACCTAACACCACAACGAGCTACCATATTGTACAAGACATCAAACTACTGCTCAGTATCTACAGTATTTTTCTTGCACGTGCGCGAGTTGTGTCCTACCTCCCTACAGCTTTTGCAGTGCCTTTTGCCGCCTCTGCCTGCACCTGTTCGAGACCTACCCTCACGCGTTTCCCCCTCTAGTTGTGCCTCAACGTCCTGTTCAGCAACTAATTCATCTGCCTCCGCCTTTGATAGGTCTCCGCCCTCCTGTATCCGCTTCCTTTTGCGTTGTTTGCGCTCAGATGCAGCCTTGTTTGCCTTCTCAAGACGTGCGACCTGACCCGCTAGCAACGCTTGTGAATGCACCATCATCTGGGCGCTTTTCTTCAGCTGGTCTAGCATTTCAATGATAGAAGCTGGCGAGAAGCTCTTGTGCTGTCGAATCCGATCGCGAATAAGCGTTGATTGAGCCTCTATCTCACGGGCGTTGCTTAGTGTTTTAGGGTTCCATTCAGCAGCCGCTGGTGTAGGAGGTGTAGGCGTGCGAGGCTTCACTTCAAGCTTGGACAACACAACATCTGGGTTGTGTGGGACTATACCAGTTGCTTGGAAGCTTGACTGGATACTCTTCATTGAAAACGAGCCGCTAAATACCTCCTTAAAGGAGGCTAGGAATGCCTTCTTTTCGATATGGTTAATGTGACTGTTTGCCAAGCCTCTGATCTCTTTCCCATACGCCCGCTTTAATGGCGCAAAACACCCCACATCAAGCGGCTGAAGGATGTGCGACGAGTGTGCAGGCATACAGAGGGTAACAATCTTGCTTTTCTCGCAAAGATCCTGGAACGCAAGCGACTTGTGGCTTTCGTGGCCGTCAATAATAAGCAGCCGATGGCTACCCACCGTGCGGGCCTCTGCATGCTTGATAAAGTGCTGCAACCAGGCTAGACCAAGCTCATTTGTTGTCCAACCGTTGTCGCTAACCCCAATACGCCAGTCTTTTGGTATGTCGTGATACCAGGAGCTATCGTGATTCTTGGCTTTAACGATGAAGAAGGGCGGGACAGCCCAGCCCTTCGCGTTGACTCCTGCGATCAACGTAACCCACTCACGACTGCCAGGTTGAACGCCTATAGGCCGATTGCGTCTCTCTGAAGCAGTAACAACCTTCACGCTTCCTGCGACACCCATAGTGAAGCCAGTCTCGTCAAAGTTGTAGGTATCTTCATCTAGGATGCCGTACTTCCTCCTTGTGTTCTGTACGAGGTCAAACCAGGGGCTAATGACCGCTGGATCGCTGCACAGGACTCTCTGGAGATTGTGCTGTCGAGTCAGTCGAGCTTTGAGCTCAGGCTTGCGACAGACGAGGTTGCTGGCCCATTTCCCGCCAACCTGGCCACCACCGCGTACAGCAAGCAATTGGTTAGCCATTTCGCGCACATAACCTAGCGTAGGCGCAAACCCTCGCGCATCTAGCTTTCTTATCTATTGAACAAGCGCGTTTTCTTCGTACTTCGTAAGCCTTGACGAGTTGGCTTGAGAATCGCGCCGTGACGTCGTTCCGGCGCGTCGGTCATGGAGGGTGCTTCAACGAACGTTGTAGATTGCTGCAGCGCGTCGCTCACTTAAGGACGCGTCTTCTTCTATTGCCTGAGTAGCTAGGATGACTCTATCTTCACAAGGGAGTATTTCTCTGTTGTGTTGTTGAGACATTGCAGCTGAAAGTAAAGAGTCGCGCGATCTTGGTGGGGTGGTCGGCTCGCTTGCCGTTCACGTTATAACAATAATCTTGATCTCGTTACTAGCAAAGAAACGCCCTGGGCACACATGTTTCCCGTATCCAAAACTAAGGTGCTCGGGCGAGCCAGTGACGAAAGTCCATTTGTTGTCAGTATGGCTTAGCTTCAAGAAACGATCGAGTTCAAACTTATCGACATTGGGATATAGAGTTGGGTCTTGAAGGCGGTGCTCAACGGCGAGTTTGTAGCCTTTGGGGATGATTGTGCCATCAGAAAGGGTGATGTTGGCCAAAGCTATACGTTGCATTACAACTGTGAATGTGAGAAACGGGTCCAAAAGCAGTGCTATGCCACTTACGGTCGGAGACTGGATTCATACGCTGCGACTCCTTCATCGCACTGTCAAGCAGCTTCATCGAAGCCAAAGATGTCTTCTTCCAGCCGTGAGTTGAAAGAGTCGAAGAAATCTCCTCTCTGAGTTGTGGGATTGCCTCCTTATTCTCAATCAGATCAGCCATGAGCATCGAGACTGCCTCCGTAGTCGTATGCACCGCCACCACCACAAATAACAGTTGAAAATCTGCAAAATCAATCTTTACTCCCTTCGCCTTCGCCTGGTCATCGAGCCAACTCAGCATATCAGAAGTTTTCTCTGTACTTTGCCCGTTGGCCTTTCTCCGCAGACGGTCCTGCGCGATTGGATTGATAATTTTCCGCGCTTTGGCAACGAGCCGCCTAGAGGAGCGGAGTTCAGGAAACCACCACTGCCCAAAAGGACGCAATAATGGATGCAAGCTACGGAGCTTTCGAGTTGCCCTGCCTGCATTGGTAGCGTACGATGTGGCAATGTCTAGCCATTCTGCATTATTTGAGAGTTCGGAGCCAATAAAAACGCGGCTAGATATGCGGGCAGCAAGGCGGTGGACTATAGGTCTCAGATCAATGGTATTCCAATCAGGAATGTTTCCTAGCATCTCCATGATAGCGGCTTCCGCTTCGGCGTTCATATCGTCAATGATGAAACCTATTCATGTGAGTTGACCGTTCAGATAATTCGAAGCTTTCTTTACATACCCAAAGACCTATTGAGATCAGACTTGACAACGTCTTGCACGATATCATGATAGTCCACCCCTAGGACCGGAGCTAATCCTCCATAGCGAGCATAACGAGCCAGAGAGTTCTATACAGGGACGGGATCAGTAATATTCATTAGATAAGTAAATAGTGTAGCGTACATTCACAACAACCTTACCCAGGGTAAGTCCCTTCATGTTGCGGATTTCACTTGCGAACGAGTTTGGCAGAAACACCATCGGTCCAGTTGGAGAAATCACCGCAATAGGGTTTTGGATCTTAACCATTTGTCAGACATATCCTTTTTGTATGTAAATCTTTAACTATCACCTTTTTCAGACCGCCATACAACAGCTCCCTGGCATTTGCTGTCCATTGTTCTTTGGCCTTTGAATGATTCTTCAGTGCATCCTCAGTAAGTGCATACCACGTCGCATTCGTAGTAAGCCTTTTGCCACCAAAAGATAAATAGAAATAGCCCAAATAACAGCCTAACGCGGCAGCTATAATCGACGGGAAAAAAAATAGGTAGGGAAGATGTAAGACAAACTCGGTAACAGTCTGCTTTAAACTCATAACTTGTATGGATGAAAACGCAATTGAACAACAGACATGAGAGTTAGTCAATTCTTCTTCATTTAAATCTTAAGAAGTTTCTCAGAAGCAGACTCCCCTTTCGGATGCTTTCGGGGCTTTTCTAGACTTTTCTCGTACGATTGCATTTAGGCGACTGCGCATATCGGTCATAATCGACGTAAGTACACGCGTACACTCCCATGCACTTGCAGCTTCCGCTTTGCACACACGGCTTGTTTGTCATCGCGCACGGAACATTGATTTGTCCAGTATGCACTTGCTCTGAAAAGGCCTAGACTTTGTAGACACTCCAATCCCATTGGTTAGGGGATCGAGCAGCAGAATGACTCATAGCAATGTCGGCTGGCGCTAGTACTATTTGGGTAAGGTCACCACTAGAAGGGAGGGGCTGGGCGTGGGATCAAAAGTTGCCTGCTCACACAAACCGGAAGCTGCAAGTGCATGCGAGTGTAGCAAACCAACCGCTCTTGCTCAACCCCCTCACGCGCATCTCAAGACCGAACCCGAGATCATCTAAGGAAGATCTTCACAGTTAGATGAGTCGGGCACTTTGTTAGTACCTTGTCATCAGAAACCTCTGGTACTACAAGCTATCTTATAAACTCGAAAATCCTGTATCTATCTTCTTACATACTACCACACTCAGAAAAATCAATCCGACTTCACCTAATGTCTTCTCTGCACGTTAAGGAGCATATAGTCTTGTGTCCTCGCTTACCAAAAGCAGCTGAAATTAGCACCCGCAACGTGCGGCTACTAGTCAAGCAATACTACCCCCAAGTCGCCTTAGTAGGAAGCCAATTCAACGTAACTATAGTGGCCGCACATGCTAACGGATTCTCAAAAGTATGTCATCAAGTTAGGACTCCTATTCGGGTACAGTGTTAACAGCATCAGGAACTCTATGAACCATTGTGGAATCATCTGCACACAGCTCTAGCCTCAAGAAATGTAGGTATCACGTCGATTTGGATTGCAGATACTGCACACCAAGGAGCCAGCCTAGCGCTGAATGAGTCATCCCAATTTACTGAAAGTAAGTCTATTTTGAATACAATTCACGCATTCATCAATTAACGGACATCACTCGAAGCATCATGGCAAGATCACTCAGAGGATCTTTTACACGTCATGAAACACTTTAATGAACAAATGCAACAACCTATTGTTGGTATAGGACATAGCATGGGAGGCTGTCAGATGTACGTAGAACACATCGGGCCAATATCTGATATAAGTTCTACTGACAGTAATCTTAAGAGCAGCACTGTCTGTTATTTCTCGCAAAATCTTTAGTACTATGATACTACTGGACCCTGCCATTGGACCCCCTCAGATGGCCCTT